ACATTTTTCAGCATGACAGCTTAAAGTCCCTGTAAAATTGTAAATGCGTGCATAGTGCTCACTTCCATAAAGTCAAATGCCATCTCATAAAGTCTAGTTGGATCCTGTCAGTGACAGTGACACAGAATCAGTACCTTGGAGCATTAAAATTAATTTGCTTCATTTATATTACTGCAGTGATAGCTAGATGAAAAGAGTCCTATATTTAAATTCTCTTAAAAATACCTTCAAATCTTTTAGGATTTTTTATTATTATTATTTTACAGTTAACTAAATGTAGTGAAGTACAGCATAATATTTTCATGGGCCTTTTAAGAAGGTGACTACGAAATGTGAAAGTAGCAAAGGGGAAAAGGGAGGATGTGGGAGGTTATACTGGGTGCAAAGCTGGAGGAAGAATAAGTAGCTTTCAGTTGTGCAGGCTACTAGAGGAACAGTGGTCTTTGACCAGGGCTGATAAACCACGGCCTTGGAGCCAAACTGGAATACCCTGGAGCAATGGAGAGCAAACAGGGCTTTCCTATACCACACTGTAAGAGCAGGCCTCTCACTCTTCCTTGCCATTGTTGAAGGGCACAGATAAATAGCTTTTCTCTCGGTAGCTCTTCCTCAGGTTTGCAAAGTTCTTACGTGAAATGGGCTGAGTGAGGACGCAAACAGGGAGAAAAATGAAACGTGCTGCATATCACAGGCCTAACAGACTTCTCTCAGTTGCAGTGGGACTGTGATTTTCGTGCCCACTGCGCTTAGTGGAGCTTAGTGATTTTAGTGGAAGTACCCAAAATTCACACTGCTGCAAGCGAGCAGAATCAAAGGTCTCGGGAAGCAAAACCAAGCAGGCTAGAAGCATGGGAGTGGAGAAGAGGAGGAAGAAGGAGGAAGGGAGAAAATACAAACAGGAGAAGAAAAAGAGCCTCTGAATACCTGAGCCAAAGAGCAAGGAGGAAGATGGGAACACGGGGGAGCACTGGTAGGATAAACGTAGCCAAACAAAGGAGAAGAGGGAAATCCAGGGTAGAAAGCTAGGAATACCAATGATCTTGTTTGTAAGGGATGATCTCAGTGCTTCCTTCCTTCCGCTACAGCTCTCCGTAGTCCTGGTCAGGTGAGGTGCTGTTTTCTTACCCAGCTGGGTATCACATTTCTTCTTTCTTTGGAGGAGGATGGGATACAACCCTGATTTGCGCCTGTCACAGTGTTTGGTCAGCTCTCATCCAGGACTTGGACAGACAATCGCACAACAAGGCTGTTTAAAAGATTTTGGCAACTCAACAGTTTGTTACACCCCTACTTTGAGTAAAGCTGCCCAAGTTGGCACCAGACCACAGAGGAGCGCTTTGTCATTCAGTTCTCATGACATGTAGTGAGTGAGGGTGTTTGGCAGAGGAGTTGAACCAAGCTGCTGGAAGCCTATAACTTAATAAACCACAGCAACATGAATGGGTGTTTGTGGCATGAGCCTTCAGACCATGGCAGCAGTCTTAAAACTTATCGAAAAGATTGTCTATGTAAACTGATAATGCTAGTGTTTCTCCTCCAATGTCAATCAAGATGAAGACCCATAGAAGTCAGTCCAATTACCCTGAAATGCAGATAAGCAAGATTAATGCCTCTGTGAAAACAAAACGAAAAATCCTTACAGGCATTATTCTTTATACATGTGAGTGCAGCCTTAATGCTCCAGATGGCAAATAAATACCCTAGTGATATTGGGGGGTGGCAGAAGGGAGGAGTTGCTGTGTACTTTGAGGAAACTTAACACTAAAGTAGTGATCTGGGGTTTAATATATGTGATTTGATCCTGTGCAAAATTTTAGTTATCTTACACTTAGTGTAGCTATCATACTCCATTAGCACTGGAGGCAATGTGCTATAAAAGATGAGGAAAAGAGCGGACAGCCCAAAATAAAGATCACCATATCCATTTTGGTTAGCACCTTCAGTCCTTGCTATCTATCTGAAAGATTTAAACTCATCTCACTCACTTTATTAGGTTTTTTTATAGCTGTGCCTGTTCATGTCACTACACTTTGTCAGTGTTTCTGTTACGGCTTCTCTTAGTGCTACTTCATGATCTCATCTTGAAAATGCATTACGGGCTAAGGTTCAGCACACAGCATCGGCCCCGGCATTATAACGTCACTTTTCTTCCTTTGGTTGGGATTTGGTTTTCATTTTGTTTGGGGTTTTTTCCAAGTATTTTATACATATATTTAAAAAAAATACAGGTGTGGGGGTTTTTTTAAGAGAGGGAAAAGCAACTATTATAATATGTTTTTCCTAATTAGCAATTTGCATGAGTTTTATGTGTTTGGAAGACATTAGCAGTCATACTGATGCTTGCAGTTACTATGTATTGCTACGAAAAAGTTTAGACAACATTTTTGAAAATAAATAAAACCCATGCTGTTTTGTTTAGCTTTATGGTTGTATTACTGACATGAGCATTTGTGACTAGTCTGTGGATCTCTGTCATGAAATATTTTCTGAGAGAGTTGCATACTGGCAAAGTTGGAATTATAAAAATCAGAATGTGCATAAGAAGGCAACAGGGCTTTTTCTTTGCATTGAACTAATGCTTACCTGCAAAAATGATTACTATTTCTGCTTTTCACCAGTTAGTTTTTCCTGGTAAATAACAGGAACTTTAATTGCACATTAGTAGCTTACAGGAACCTATTGTTGTGACATGTATTTAAATAAGCTGTGAATTAAGAACCTCTTCCCACCCAGTGATCTAATTATATTGTCACGCTAATTATAGTATTTTGTATTTATATTTGACAACTTTAATTTTCTTTTCCTAGTTTACTGAAATAGCTTTCCTCTAGAGAATTTACCTTTTAGGCTGGAATTTCTCATCTTTTCTTTCATAAAATGTACAGTAATTTAAAGCATGTCTAAGTCACTTTGGATCCATTCTGTTCACATCTCTGCCGTTAGTTTTCTGTGTGATCTTAGGCTAGTCATTTTAGTGTTCTCTGATTCTCTGTAGGAGTCCTGTTCAGCTTACTAAAGTGTTTTTGGATCTATGGATGAAATTGCACTACCAAAACACCAGGTACTGTCTTACAAACATAAATATAGCATGTTCATAGCTTGGAACTCTAGTTTATTTTTCTGTGGTTAGAGAACAGAGAAGGACCCACAAGGGTCAAGTTGAGACTTGGAAACAGGCAATAAAACCTTTATCTGTTTACAAAAACAGTATGATGGGCATTTGAAGTAAATTACAATCCTTAATATAATGCAAATTCCCATTTAATTTCTATCCAAATACTATCTATTCCCAAGCCCCAGAAATTAGTGTTAATAATAAGCAGCCCTATTGTGTGATAGGTCCATGATGTTATTTTGAAGGTAATTATATTGAAATTAAACATGCAAGCCTTTAGCTATTTGATTTAATCTTTCCCTGGAAATATCCATGTAAGTAAAGGCTACTAGTATGGGGATGAGAATGTTAGTGGTGTAATGTGATGAAGTTAATCAAAATAATTACATGAAATAGTGCTGTGGAAATACCATGAAGTTTTCAGCAAGTCTAGACATGTGTCAGCAATAGTGGGACACTGGTGGAGTGGTAATATTCAATGAATAAGCTGTCTCCTCACATAGGGAGGATGCAACTTTTATTAAGGGAAACCTGAAAGGGTGTTGAGAACAGGAATTTATCTGAGGCATTGAGAAAAGATTATGTAAACATGGCAACTTTGGCTGATCTGAAACATCTACTAATGGGGGAATGGAGAGCATGTGACACAAAGCTCAGCTTTTTGTTATTGCTAAGAGAGGAGACACATAGATAAGCTCTGTGAAAACTGTGTGTAGTCTGCTTCTCTGCAAGGTTGATATTGGCAGAAAATTCCTAGAATGACATTTAAGATGAGGGACAAAATAAGGTATGTTCTCAGGGGGCTCCTGAGGAATTGCAGCTGCTCTTGTTGGCGACTATGCAAATGCCTGGTCAAGCAAGACAGAGATGGCTGCAAGTTTCACCTACACCTCTGCTTTGTGGAGCATGGTAGCTCCAAGTTCCAAGATTTTGACAGATAATTTTGAACAATAACATGTTCAAAGTAAACATAATCAGTTTCATCACTGCAAAACTAAATCGAATTTAATTTTACATAGCACATCATCAAGTGGGAAGATTATGTGTGGAGATGTCTAATAGAATTAGCACTGTTGAGTGCAAATTCAAGCTCTTAGGAAAAATGGCCCATCTCTAGCTCTTAACACACACTTCTTCCAGCATCTAGCAACTTCTGTACTCCAGCGGCTCCCTAACTCTTCAATAGGCATGACCACTTCATATTGCTCACTCAGTTTACTAAACCTTTTCTGTCTCATGCTGTATCTCTTCTGGAACATAGAGGTAGAGCAGAGAGTTTTGTTCTCTAACACGAGCATTCACTTGCAGAGTACTTGACACTCTACCCTGACTGCATGAATCAGTCAAAGCTGGGAAGGCTGTCATTTGGATACTCACCAACTGGCAGGGAGTGTGCCAGTAAAATACAACCCTTCTCCAGTGGTGAACAGACTGAAGAAAGGTTACAAGCAGGAGTCGGGCAGGTTGGATGGAGGACAATCATGAAAACATGAAACAGAGCAGAGTGAGAGGAAGTAGCAAATAAGCAGTACAGAACTATGCTCAGCAACTGAACAGTCAAGCTATAGCAGAATGTATTTTATATCAAGTCTTCAGCAGGAGTTTGACAGCTATTAGCATAATTAGAAAAGATCTTTTATGGCATTCCCCTACTCCTTCCTTTCTGCCACAGAACTTTCTCTGCCGTGTATTTTTTTTTGTTCATGTTCTTGCTGGTTTGTTTGGGTTGGTTTTTTTTTTATATAAAACTTCTGAGTCTTCATTTTGTTTCTTTGGGTTTGGGGGTTTTTTTTTGGTGAAACGTCAATGCAACATAAAATTCTTTGCTTTTATCTGGAGCTCAGAGTCTGAGGTGAGAGTCTGTCTCCTGTTTTTCTGCCTGCAGGGATTCCAATGCTGAAGATAGTATTTGCGGGTTATGAGCACCTGTCCTTAATTTCCGTCCCCTTGCTCATCTATCATCCTGCTCAGATTCTTCTTGGCAGTCTGTTGGTACCAACAATAAAATCTTGGATGGTTTCTAGGCAAAAGGTAAGAATTGCTGGTTTTGATTTATAATGGAAAGCGTGCTATGAGTCAAAAAATACCTAAACACATCTTAAACTCTTCAGGTTCCTTCTTGGAGCTTCCATGGTAGGGATTTTCCTGTTTCTTTACTTCCTTTATGACAGCGATGGTCACAGTAGTATCAAAATAAAAATGCTGAACTTCATCCCCCTTGGCTCTGAAAAGGTTCAAATCTTGATGTTAGACCTCTACAGTTAGTTCAAATTATGAATTTGGGTTACGCCCAATAAGAATGGCTCTATCTTTAGCTAATAATCACAGCTTTGGATCTCCCTTACGGAGAATTGACAAAGATCTGTCCACTGGCATGGGAGCTGGGGAAATCAGGTAAAATGAGGGCACTTTCTGAATTGAATTGAAGCAGGATGAAGACTTTTAAATTTATTTTCTTTCTACTTGGGTCACCCTTTACAACAGCAAGAAGTCTACAGGAGTCTGATGCATCACATTTCATGCCAAAATTATGGCATGGGATGGCTCATAGGGTTATAGACTATAACCTAGAGGTTTTTGCATCGACATCACTGACTGACATGCTTATTTCAGTACAAATTGAAGATATTGACATCTGACAGCCATTCTGTGATCTATATGAAATAATTGCAATGGTTTTAGTCAGGTTCTCAGAGCAGTAGTAACCACCTTACAGAAAGCTAGTACGTGCAACTGATATTAATGCTGTCTTTAATGTTCTGAGATAATAAGGATCAAGAAACTGTGGCAACTGAAGCAGTCTTTGACAGCCATTTTAGGTGAAGATTGAGACCTGCTGTGGGAAGCCCAGCACCACCAGTACCCTGCATTCTCCACTTGTCAGTGGAGAAATTTTTTTTTGTAACTTCCATGTTTCTGATTTTCAGCAAAACCCAACAGGCTGCCGTTTTACCAGCTTCACTCCACTAAAGTCATCTTGCTAACTTGAATGATAAAATTCCCCAAAACAATGATTTTTTTGTGGCTCCACTTTTGGTTACCTGAATTGTAAAGAGCAGGAAAACTCAGTTTTCAGGAACCGAGTCCAGAAATCAGACCTGTTAAGATATACTTATCGTAGCATCTGAAAATGGAAATTTGACAATCATATGTCATTTCTCCATCAGTCTGGAAGTCATGATTTTTTTTTAAATCGGAAATTGTCACAGGTTGCGTAAAGAAAATTCCACGCTATTCCTGCAGAAAGATAGCCTGAAGTTGACACTACTGGTGACAGAACGATCCCTGCAATGCTGGCTTCTCTTCAGCATCTAACTGCTCTCTGCTGCCAAGACCAGGAGTGGGGCTGGAGCTCATCCAGACCTTCCCGATCCTCAGGGTGGTAATGGCCTTTAGGGGCTGCTGTCAGTTGCTGCAAGTTAACACAGCCTTTGAACAGGGCATCAGAAAAGTCAACCAGTACTGGAGAGATTTAAAGTTCACCAGCACTAGTTTCTTATTCATTAAGCATCAAATAAACCTCCTGTGCTAATCAGACTGTAATGCTACCGTAGAACCACTTTGGGGGATTGTTGTTCTGTAGCAGCAGTTTCTTCAGTTGGTCTTCTGTATTATTCACAAATGTTATTTTAATTACTCTTTGAAAAAAATCAATGAGGTTGGGTCTGGTACAGTTGCAATAAGTATAATAGAAGTGAATGTTGTGACGGGATAATGGTCTCCCGCTTTGAAAATAAACATGTCATCATCACCCTTGATGTTTATTTTCTATAAACACCTTGGCTTCATTTTGGCATCTCTCTTGCAGGGGAAGACGGTTATCCAGTCACAGTACTCAACTGCAGTGACATTCTTACTTAATTATGATAGTACATGTGATCTGGTTGTATGAAATTGAATTTAAATATTTAGAGGTTCATCTACACTAAGGTATTTCTAGTTTGTAAATATGGCAGCAGAATCTGCCAAACTACAAAGTTAAAAAATCGTTTCCCCAAACAAAATGCAGAATGATGTCTCTCTCCAAAGTCTCTTGCTGAATAATATCCAAAAGACTAATCTCAAATGGCTAGATTTAACAATAGTTAAATGCTGGTGTTTCTGAAAGCTGGTGTTTCTTAGGGGAATATAGCCTATTTATTTTTAAAGGTTTGGATTTTTTTAAGGGTTTACACTTGTGCTGGAGCGTTTTTCAAGCAGTGCTTACAAGCTTTAAATATACAATATTAAAGGTTAATATCTACAATAAGAAGACCCATCAGACATCTCTCAGACTGAAAACTGCTTGGTTAGCTAACCCTCCAGAAATCATAAGTCTCTTGATTGACAGGCAAATGCCAGTCTGTCAGGGCACTTCACCCAAAAGACTATGGAAAACAGAGGTTCCAAATTTTGGGAATTTGCAAATGTCATGAATTTCCCTCTCACTCGGGCCTATTCGTCCTGGACAAGAAAGCACTGAGCTTTTTTGTTGCAAAGCACACCAACAACAGGCATCCTTCACAGTGACCACATCGGTATACAGGAGCAGCTGAAAACCTAACACCTTTTAAGCCTGTCACATTTGCCTCCTAAGTTAGAGAGGCTGCTTCCTGCCAAGCTAGAAGCATGATCACCTATCATTTCAGTTGAACTTGCGTCACGCACTAAATAAATAGTTCAGCTACCATAGTTGGCCAGCCCTGCAGGGAACATAGAGCTGGACCCTGCCATCAAATAAAGGCATGTGGTTTCTTTCCTCCTCAGTAAGAGCAGCCTAGAGCTACAAAGACATCAGGTGTCCCCTGGCATAAGATCACCTCTGGACTGATGGATTTTGGCTTATTCTTACCTTTTCTCAGAAAGGAAGGTATAAACATCAGAGGTGTGTGACATCTACCACTGCAGCAGTGACTATACTCTGAGCAGGCTTCGAGCCACATGGAAGGAGGCCAGGGAACACAAAGGTGTTGGCAGAAATTTTCTTCGCAGTCTTTCCCTAAGTGGGTCAGAAGCTCTTGTATCTGTGCCACAAGTGGTTTGAGTGGGGTCCAAATAGTTGCTTTCTAAAAGACATCTGAGACCCACCTCCGCTTCCGTCACTGGCACTGTAGCTGTATTCCTTGTGGTTCCTCTGTTAAGGCTATCTGTATGGGAGGAGGTTGTGATGCGCTATCAGAGATAAAAACATCATCGCAAAACTGAGTGGCCTGTCAGCTGCGTGCTGACTCCTCACTTGGCCTCCCAGAAGTACATGCAGCATCTTATTGCCCCTTATAAATAAAAATCTTGTCTTGTGCTGTTGGTTGTCTTTTAAGAACGTAAAAAAGTGACTGTTTTGTTTGCTGTTCACAGGCACTGAAGTTAACCAGGCAGCCCAAAGCACCCGTGAAGGTATAATTATGGAGACGGCCTGTGTCACAGTGAATGTATATATGTACTATACTGTACACACAGACAATTGAGACAACTGGGTATTTGTGAATGTTGCTTCAGTGCATATTTTATTTTTATATATATATATATATATTAAAAAGATACCTGTTAAGTGCCTTACAGATGCATTTTTGGCAAAAGCATTGTTTCAGGAAGCCACTTTGTTGGTTACTGCAAGAGGTTGTACAGTATTTTGGAGTCCTTTAGTTTTTATTTTTCTAACTGAGTGAATGGTCATGACTAACGGCTGTTTCTTCCATTGCCCCTGCTTTGAAGCCAGGTGCACCAGCTGTAAGTCTCTGTTTTAAACTAGCCAAAATGACCAGAAGCCTATCCCACTGCTATCTTACCCTGGGGAAGAGCTTTCTGAAGGCTTTTTTCAAGATTGACTTGAATTTCTGTGTGACTCTGTTACACTCCCTAGTCATATGACTGTGACATGCCTTTTTCTTCTGAGTTTGTGTATACTCAGCATGGGGCCATCCATTGGATAGAAGCTGAGAAGCATGAATTATTTGCATTTGTTGACACAGTTGTCTAGACATTCCTTCAAAGTTAATGGTTTCTCAAGAAAACTCTTTCAATTCCATTGTATGATATTGTGCCATTGTATATCTTAAATGCCTCATAAGCTTCTTCAAAGAAATGGTCTGGTGTTTGGGTTATGAGTGAAGTATTTGTGTTTGCAGCTAGGAGATCTTTTATAATTTACCCCTGAAGAACACAAATCTTTGTTTTTCTTTTTTCTTTTCCTTCCCCCGGTGCAATGCACAGAGATCTGCGGTGACAGAATTTAGGATGCTAATATTGAAACAGAGCCTTTATTGTAGTAAGCCAACCTATGTTTTCTGTATTGCTGCATTGGTAATGAATAATAGCTTGTGAGGACAAGAAAGTTGATGGGGTTTTTTTTCTGGTTTTTTTTTTTCTCCAATTAAAAGGATCCTCACAGTAACAGAAATGCTATCTTAGCTAATTTGACAATCAGTCACAACTTTTTTTGGAAAATAAAATGTTACTCTCTTTAATAAACTTATAGAAAAAAATACAAAATACTATTTCTAAGAAGAGTGTTGAAGAGAAAGGAACACAGTCATACATTTAAACATAGAGCCAGCACTGCATCTTGTCTGGGAGATTAAGATTTCAGAAGCATACGCTAGTCCAGACTCTGAGGTGCACCCATCTGCAAAAACTGTGCTGGCAATTGTGCATTAAAACGTTAAGGAACGAAGGAAATAGGTCAAACTGGGATCGATATAAATGCAGAAGTTTCATGTGTGTCATGGTTAACGTTGCAGTTAATGGTGCAACTGAGTGCAAACACCTAGGAGGAGATCTTTAGCACACAGATGTGAATTATCATAGCTCTGATAAGGCTATAGCCATTTACACAAGCTAAAGATCTTTTGTATGACAATAGGCATGTGAAATTCATATCCTTTTGCCTTAGTGAAAACAACTGTGTTTGGTTTACCTAGTCTGTTATTCCTAGTCCGTTATTCCTGCGAACAACAGGAAAGCAATCTGGTACCAATCATCGGTGCTTTACCTGATGGTCAGTCAGTGCAAGACTGCTCTGTTGCCATCTGTATGAGAAACTACTGGGAGCTGACAGCGTCACCTTGTTCAGAATTATCATCACCAATAAAACGACCATGTAACGAAGGTACGTGAGGTGGCAGCAGGCTGAATTCTTTCATTCCCTGGAAGGGGGATCAAGCTCTGCACACTGAGCAGACGGGAGGGCTGAGGGACACTGTCCACCGCCCCTGTTCCCCAGGGCTGTGCTCTCTTCTCGCTAGCCAGTGATGCAAAGGGCTGCGGGCAGCGAGCTCACAGTTTTGATCAGTGCATTCCTAGATAGCATGGTCAGATCCACCCACAGGCCAACCTGTGAGGTAGTTGGAGAGAACAGCGTGTATGTTCTTGGGGCCAAATTCAAGGTTCCCCCTCCTTAAGCATGCTAACTGGGAACTGGCTCCATGAGGGAAAAAATTCCTTTATCTGGGCTTAAAAACCCTGCTTGCAGCAGGGAGTCCAGACTCAGGACAGTTTCTTTTTGTCCTGTTTCCATAAACCGGAACTTCCAGAGTATATAAGGACTTAATCCTAATCCCACTGAAATCGATGACTCTATTGGTTTTGAATGGCAAAGCAACAGGCCCAGAAAGAGTGCTCGCTTATTTTAAATCTACAGGAAGAGTTCAAGCATACAGTAACTTACTGTGGTTGTGTCAATGCTAAACAGTCGGAACACTGCAAGTACCCTTACTGAGCTACCTCTACTTACTGAATCTCCGACTTTCAGTGCATCCAACAACTTGCTTAGATTCCACTGAACACATCCTTTTTTCTTTGTGAAATTTTTTCTACGTTTAAGAATATTTCAAACTGGTTTAAGATGGAGTTTTGTTAGAGCCTTTACAAAGTCCTTGTTGATTGCTTGGGGCAGCCTAAATATTGTGTATGAGTTTTGGAGGTGTTGGTCTAAAGGGAATATAAGGCAAAACTGAAATACATATTTTAAATCTGTACTTAATGAAACTTAATTATGCATATCAATTCTGTTATGTTTAAAGACTGTTAAGATATTTGGTTTATGTCTTGTTATTATCCTTATATGTCTTCAATAAACAGAATGGTTTTGAATTTAATTCTGTTACTAAGAAAACAAGATAAAATTACTTATTCTCTAGGTCAACTTTTTACCTCTGTTACCTACATTTTGTTCTTTTGTGGGTAAGCTTTTAAACTGTTTGCTTGTTCTTTAAAAAAAAAAAAAAAAATCCGTGAACTGTACAGAAATATTTTATGAACTAAACTTGGGGAAAGAAAGTCCTCAGAATACTGCAAATTACCATCAACTGAAAATTAATTCATTGAACTCCACCAGTTTTTCAGTAGAGGGTTAGAGCAGTGCTGGATCTTTTCAACTTCTTGGCTTTAAATTTAACTGAGAAATATCTGGTATTGAACATCATCAGGCAAAACTGATGGCAAACGAGAACTTTGCCCATGTTAAAACATAAGGATTTTCTTGGTCGTCAACACTTCTTATCTTCTGCATATCTGTAATCCCATCTAATGATAGCAGAGGCAAAAAACACCCAAACAATAGAAGAGCACTTCAGAGGTCACAGGGAATTTTAGCACTTTGTGTTGAGTTACTCATTTCCCTTTTTGTGCACTAAATTGAGAAGCTTTTGATGACCCCAGTAATAGGTCCAAGATAAATCATTTTTTATGTAGTTAAAATCAGTGTTTTCTCTTACAGATCCTTTAGTTAATGCAAATAGGTTATATGACAGAAAAGGCAATCTCAGCAGACGCTGCACAGTTGTGCTTGTTCATAGAGCAAAAAGAGGGTAATCCAGCAGCTTGGTTTTACAGAAGTAGTCCCCTACATTATTCTGGCAGTCAGGGAAGGAGGAGCTGTTAGTTTTATTTGTGTATGGTTTTCTGTGGAAGTATCTTGACAGCAGGAGGTTAGAAGGCAAGATGAAATATTGGCTGTCTGCAAGCACATTTATTTATGTGCAAGTGCATACGTGCATAAGAGATGAGCAGTTATATATGTAGAAATCACTAGAAAGGACCAAGTCCCTGGTATACATTTCTTTGCAAGACTGCATATGGAGAAAGAGCTACTTTTTGGATGTTATTCTGACATTAAAAATGACATTTCAGACACTGAATTGTGTTTTGTATTGAATCATAATCTCATACAGAACCTTTACAGCAGACGATCGCAGCATTGTATTTGTAAACTGTAGGCTATTTTGCACTTAAATAGATGTTGATGCGTTTGGGAATTACAGCACAGTAAAGGGCTAAATCATGGTTTCTCCATTTTGTTATAATCCAAATGCATTTATATTACTATTATTATAAAGTGCCAGAAACACATACAGTCCCTCGCAAACACGTTAAATAGACAAGAGACTAAGTTCTGCCCTTGGTTACACTTGCACATCTCCAGTGAAAGGGCTGTTAAGCTGCAGAGTGGTCTCCCTAGGGAAGCTGTTTGAAAAGCCCTGCCACTGTTCACATGACTAGAGTAAATGAAGAGTATTTTACCTCAGATTTGATGGCCTGCCCTTTCCAGCATCTAACAAACCAAGTCTCTTTTGTCCTTATTTCCACGGGTAGCCCTGATCTGCCAGACGAAAACTACAGCATCATACCAGAACAATGTCACAAGAGGGAGGTTGTCTCCTCTTTGCCATTTTCCTGCTTAAACCACGTTATCACTTGTGATCATTAGACTGTGACTTCTCTGAGGAGGCATTTTGAATTAAATTCTTCAAAGTTTATGGGTATGGTTCCTGCAAAATTCTCATTCAACAGAGAACACCCTGCAGGATGGTGAGTAATCTTCTGGAGTAGCGTGGACAAGGACTGTCCATTGGCTTTAGATGTGCAGGACTAGAGAAAGCAATGCCAGGAAATGCAGGTGCAAGGCATCGCTACAGGCAGGTCTGCTTCATGCTGGCAGCTAGAGCTGTAGCAGAGGTCATGAAAGCAGCCTCTAAATTGTTCTCTTGCCAGAAAGGTGGAGAGTGAGATCTTCAGTGAGAAGTGAAATTAAATTTGTTAGTGATTAAAAGGACAAGAGAGATGTGTTGGAAGCAATTGGTGCCAATGAGGCCTCTCGGCTGCTCCCCTAAGCAAATTGCAGTCTCGGTGGAATATCAGCTTCTCAGTCCATCAAATTGCAGTAATCAAGTCTGGAGCTGATGGGAGCATGAGTCACCACTTAATTTTCTCATCAGCAGAGGCCAAGTTTTCAAAATATTTTTAGACGCGTTTCCGCAGAGGTTTCTGCCAGCCAGTGACCTATAGAGTGACAAGAAAATGAGCAATAGCTGCTGTTGAATCAGGCTCTGCTCCCTGCCACCTACCCTACTGACTGCAGTTTTGGGCAGGGAGGGCTGGTAGATCAAAGGCTTTTGGCGCTGTTATGCAGAGAAGAGCCCCACTGAGTTGATCTCAGCACCTGGGTTCATTAAGTAATAAAATAATCTGTTAATTCTTAGGCTATCTGGTAGGTTCAAATCAACCCTGACTCCGTGTTGCAAGCCCAGACCAGAAGCAGGCATGAGATTAGAAATTGATTGTGATCCCTGCACAGAGAGACAGCAGATACCCAACAGCTGCAGGACAGAGAAGAGGCTGTGCATCTCCTGAGGATCCTGTGCTGGTGCATATTGTCCGCTCTTTACCTGTGTTGAAATTTGCCACCTCGCACAACCATTTTTCACCCAGTTAAGAAGAAGAAGAAAAAGCTTCTTTGGATGGCATTCTCTGTGGGTGGGCTCCATAACTGTAACAAAATCAAAGGCCTGCAGATGTTAGCATGCTGATGTTAGTTCGTGTCTAACAGAAAACTTGCTATTTATGGTCAGTTTTCTTATGAAACAGTTCCAAATTCTAAGGGAAATCAGCTTTCTTAAAAGGGAAGAAAATGGGCTGCCTCAAAGGAAAGACTATTTCATTGATAGAATTAAAAAAATTATGGAGGTCATGTGAGAACTGGCCTTTTGCCAGAAGAATTGCAGGAAATAAAATTTGAGAGTCCCATGACAATAATTGGGTATGAAATTCTATTGACAAAAGCTTTTGCAGTTCTGTGTTCCCTCCGTTTCTTAGCATTGTGACTGCAGTCCTTTCCCATGTGTCCTTTGTCTGGTGCACAGCCCATACCCAACAGGTTACAAAATTCTATCTTATTTCCCAGTGCCTTCCCAGTGTAGTTTTGCCACTTCTTGTCAACAGTGTTTGATGAAATACGTGATAAAATGTCTTTTTTCCCTATCTTCAACCTAAATCCTCCCCTCGTCCCCCTTTTTTTTTTAACTTCTCCCAGTTAGCTGTCCCTAACTGAACCTGTTGGTGTCATCACCAAGATGATGCTCTCATCTGCTTGGAAAGCATCTCTAAGAAGATGCTCTCTTCTTAGAGACCCCATCCTGTAGCAGCATGATGGGATAACCATGACCGACAAACCAGAGCAGCTTTCCAAGATGCTGCTTAGGGAAGCAGAAGTCAGCTTTTTGTGCCGACACTGAAGAACTTTACCCAAATTGTGGTTCGCGTGTTCTTCATTAGGACTCGCAGCTCCCCTGGATGGAAACACCCGCATGCACGTGGGCCTGCAGCTCACTGCTGTA